TTTGATAAGTTGGTGATAGCTTGTAATTTGACAAGTTTCTCTATTTCTCTTTTGAGTAAAAGTTGTATTGTGTGGTCAACTGTGTGTTATGACCTGCCAGGAAGAGTTGTTTTAAAGTAAACGGTTGGATTTCTCGTTTGTTGCTGTTGGCACGATACAGTTTGTTGCTGGTGTCCTAAGAGATAATGGTGAATATAAGAACTACTTGAATTTAATTGGAAACATTGGTATGCAAGGATGATTGAAAGTGCGTGTGGCCGACGGGAGACAATAATTTTTCGGGTTCAACAGTGGGGCCCGAGGTAAACTTGTGCTATATAGTTAATAACTGTACAGGAATTATTAGTGTCGGCGTAGGCCAATCTGGCCAGTTGGTGTATCATCATATTGATTGGGACAAGAACAACCATTGAGCTTAGTTAGTATGTAAGGTGTTCCAAAACGCTGAGGTGCAACTTAATTACTTTGTAATATGAATGAAATTGCAAACGATTAATTTCATATCCTTGGAAGAGAATTCTGATGCCTTAGAGTCCTTTATCGACTAGATTTCTCATTACGTGCAAATGAGTCTTGCCTAAAATTAAGATAGATCCTGCGATTATCTAGTCTACAATTTAGCATCAAAAAAGTCTTTCACTACTGCAATAGTAACAAGTAAAAGAACTGGTAAATAAGCTAAAATAATTAAAAACCTTTATGCCGATGTTTTCATGACATACAAAGAGAGTAGTTATAACATTTTTATGGGTTTTAGTTCGTTCTTTAAATTACGCAAGTTCCCCTAAAGTTTAATAGCCATTAGCTTCAATGTCAACTGCGTAGATTTTTAAAAGTGCTTTGAAACACTTTTTACTATTTATTTTGATTTTTTATTAAACAAAGAAAAATAGACTTAAGAATTAATTTGTGTGAAAACAATTTGTGTGAAAAAAAATCTTCTATTCAATTGTTAACAATTGTTAATAAAATAAAATGCTTAATAAAATAAAACTATATAAAAAGAAATAATGATACTACAGTATAACTATGCCGTGTCTGCAATCAGATTTTTTCTATGCTCTCGTGTTGTTGTGGTCGTTACAAAAAATAATGAAAAATCTGATCCAGGATCATCCCGAACAGGGGCGGATGCAGGATTTTTTGAAGTTTGAGATAACTAACTTCCAGACATGGAGCGAACTCAAAACTTTTATATGTTTATAGTTATATCAAATAAGGATACTTTGCATAAAATTGAGATGATAGGAGCCTGGGAACAAAAAAGCCCCAAAATTTTTTGCTACACCTGCCCCAAACGTGAGAGCAACAAGTTGATAAAATAATTTTTTTACTATTCTTAACTAAATCTATATTCATCGAGAAATTTTAAAAGTCATACAATAATCTCTTAACGTTCAAAAGTTAGAGCCACATAAAGTTTGAATCCCCCTCAATTTGAGGGGGTTACAAATTTTATAAGACCATTATTATTGAACGCTAAAAGATTGTTTTACAAAATTAAAAATTTCTCGATGAATGTAGATTTAGTTGAGAAAAGTAAAAAACTTATTTTATCAACTTGTTGCTCTCACGTTTGGGGCAGGTGTAGCAAAAATTTTGGGACTTTTTTGTTCCCAGGCTCCTATCACCTCAATTTTTCGCAAAGTATCCATATTTGATATAACTATAAACATACAAAAGTTTCGAGTTCGCTCCATGTCTGGAAGTTAGTTATTTCAAACTTCAAAAAATCCTGTATCCGCCCCTGCCGAAGAGATTTTAAAGGGGTGGAGTGACATATATGTTTTTTATCGACTAAGGTCAAAAAAATTTTATCCTCGACATTTGTTGACTGACCACTATACACCCAATTTTGCCGACTCCAGTGTCCAAAATGCCGACTAGTAAATTTATTCAAGGGGCTAGACACTCCACTCGGGACACCTCTGATTGACTGCCTTAACAACGAATATTCGGCAATTATTTGGTATTCGGTGTATTCGGCAACATTTTACACTATTTGGTATTCGGCCGAATAGTTCGCAATATTCGGCCGAATACCGAACACTGAAAAATGAAAATAATTGCATTAGAAATGGATTAAATTACTAAGTATACATATAATAATACAATAAAAAGATTAATCAAATAATAAATATATTATATATATAAGATTCGATTAGTCACAAATTTTTTTTATTTAAAACGACTTTAATACTTAAAATTTATCAGTGATAAATTATGATGAATGAAAAAAGTTTGAAATAAACAAACTTTGTTACTTATTGTAGTATTTTGCAAGCAACAATCGACAATCAAATACTTAGTCTTTTATGTTAACTAAATTGACTTCTCAATTTAAATAGTTTTTTAAGGATAATTTAAAAATATATATTTGAGTATATTTAATATTTTAAAAATATATATTTGAGGTCTTTAATTTTAAATAAATTATGGAGCTTGTAAATAAATGAATTGCATTTAATAAACTCAAATCATTTATTAACAAATTTTAGTAACATTTATATTAGTGACATTTATATATAGTGCTATCGAATATTCGGCCGCCGAATGTGCAGAGGGTCAACCTGAATATTCGGTATTCGGCAAAATCACTATTCGCGGCATCTCTACAGCATTACGAACTAATTTTTAATAGTAGTAATGTACACAATTTTTTGTATTTTGGCAAGCGTGAAGTAATTTTTTGGTCATTTTAAGGGTATATGGTGGTTCCAATGGCAACCTATGGATTTAAAAGACAATTTTTAAACAGTGTTCCTAATTTTCTATAAATATTTTATAATTTTTTGTAAAAACTAAGATTTAAAATCAGATTAAATGGTTACCCTTTTTGAGCTACTGAAAACTATTCCGCGCGAAATTTTTCAAAAAAAAAAAAAAAAAAAAAAAAAAAAAATTCCGGGAGAACGGTTATTGCAACAACCGGAACATAAACATGTTTCTTGAAAAAAAGGTTTTTTTGGATTTGTTTGGAATTTATGGGATTTTTTTCTCATTTTTCTAGTATCAAAATTACAATAGTCATTAAATTTTTTTTTTTGTGGTTTACCCTTATATATGGATAAAACCAGGAGAGTAATCATTGACAAGAGAAGTAACACGATACAAAATAACAAAAATATTGCAAAAACAAAAAACAAAAACATTTATGTAAAAAAACAAAAACATTTAAACATTTATTATAATAAATTATTATAATAACCAAATTAAAATCGAAAATTCCACAAGGTTTATAGTTGGTTATTAAATTTGATTTATTTTATTAAAATCTAATTGTAAAATTTAATTGTAATAATTAAAACTTTTTAAAAATTTAATTGAAATAATTTCAATTCAATTCAATTAAATTTAATAATCCAACATAAAAACTTTATATAATAAAGATATAATCTTTTAAATAATAAATATTTATATTGCAAATATAAAAAATTGTTGTCCCAATATTGTTAGGACAACAACTTTTTAGTAATAAAATGTTATGCTATAAATCATTAAAATTAAATTTTAAATGTTATTGTTTATTAGGGCATAAATGCATTAAAAAAAAAACCATTACTTGTACATGTACTTCATATTAATACATATTTACAAGTTATAAATGTATAGATCATTCAAAATCAGAGAACAACAAAAAACAAAATTGTATTAATAAATTATGCTCACAAATAATAATCACAAATATGTAATTTGATGTATAATATAAATATGTATATTTAAGAAGTAATTTTTTAGTTTTTTTAAAAAATAGATTTCCAAAGTTAACAAGACCATAAAATAGATTTACTAGATAAAAAAGTCATAGAAATTCTATGACTTTTTTATCTAGTAAATCTATTTTATGGTCTTGATATATACATAAATACACACACACACACACACACACACACACACACACACACACACACACACACACACACACACACACACACACACACACATATATATATATATATACATATATATACATATATATATATATACATAGATAAATACATAGATAAATACATATATATATATATATATATATATATATATATATATATATATATATATATATATATATATATATATATATATATATATATATATAGATATAGATATATATCTTATACTGCTGAGTTAGGTGAGCATGATGATGTCATATTCACCTAATGTCAAATAGCCTGCTGCCGGGGGCTTCAGTACATACATCGACTGACAAATAGCCTGACTTGCCGTGGAGTGCTGCTACATCGACTGAGGGTTTGGTATAGATCAGCAACCTTTTCTTTCATTGTTCTTCGTTTTCCCTCATCGTTTTCTAAAAACGCTCACTTAAATTAAGCTAGCAAAAAAAGTGAGCAATTGTGCATATAAATATGCTATAGTAGATATTATATAAATATATATATATATATATATATATATATATATATATATATATATATATATATATATATATATATATATATATATATACATACATAGATATATACATAAATACATACATACATACATACATACATACATACATACATACATACATACATACATACATTGTATGTATGTATGTATGTATGTATGTATGTATGTATGTATGTATGTATGTATGTATGTATGTATGTATGTATGTATGTATGTATTTATGTATATATCTATGTATCTATTTCTAAATAAATAAGTTGAAGATTTAGAATTGCTAGCATTAAAAATAACTATTTTAATATAAAAAACTTTTTTTGTTATTATAAGACAAACCCAGTAAGGAAAGGGCATTTTTAAAATGTTTAAAAAACTTATTAAAACAGATTTTAACATTTTTTAAACGTTTTAAAAATGATCTGTGATTACTGGGAAACAAGTTTAATTTTTATTTTTTACACTTATAAACACTGCAAGTAATCTTTTTTATTTGATTCAATTTATTTTATATACAAATTAAATCTATTCAAATCAAATATATTTTGAAAAAATTATTTTGAGGATGTTTACAATATTTTTTGTTTAGTATATTATTTTACGTTTAGTTTAAAAATATTTTTTTTATATAAGCAACAACACCTAAAGCTTGGGAATCGATTCACTTTTTGGATATACTTTATTCTGGTATAATGACATCATTGAATGAAAAACATTCTTTGTTAGCTGTTCTTCAATTTTTACGCAAGAAAAATTTGAAGGTATTTTTAATATTAATAGTTTGCTATTATTTGTTTATATTTTTCTTCTTTTTTGAATTGTTAGTTAAAAAATAATTTTAACCAGTTTACATAACTTCAAATTATAGTTTTTATTACTTGAATTGTTTTTTTTGAAAAATTAAATCAATTTTTGAAAATTAAAAGCTTTAACCCAAATAATTTTACTTTTATTTTACTACTGTGGAGTGATACAGTGCATATAGTAATTGAATAGAGTGATTGAAACATACATTGTATATAAAATGTTATACAAACTTGTTTCTACTTAATAAATTAATGTTATAAAAATATAATATAGATTGTATTTGTATCTTTTTCTTTCTTTAAAAAAAAATAATATTATAATATTTTTAGGAAGCTGAAGAGGCTCTTAGAAAAGAAGCTGGCTTAGACTCAGTTCTATCTCAAGTAAATAGTGATAGTTTAAATGAACCTGATTTATCGAATGTGCTTTCAGAGTATGAAAGGTAAAATATATTCAGTTAAAAGAAACTTAAGGTTGAAAAAATTATAAAGAAAAATTGTTTACATATTTTGTTAACCTTATTTCTTGGGACTACAAAAATATGTAGTTCCAAGATCAGGAAAATTAGGGAAAAGTCAGGGAATTCAGATAACTGCAAAAAAATCAGGGAAATTAAGTTAATTTTTTTAAAATTAGAGAGAAATCAGAGAAATTTTCAATATATGTTATTTATTTAATAGGTGTTTATATCTTATATTAGGTATGTGGATTGAAAATTTTAAATTGATCAAAGGTTAGATTGTTATATATCATTAGAAAGTGCTTCAATACAGTATTTTAAAGGTGAAAAAATTATTAAAATCAGACTATTGTACAAAAAGTTATGACGTTTTTAGTCGCAAATTTTTGATATATGGATTTGTTGAAGAAACTGTGGTCAAAATTTAATTTTTCTTTACTTAAATTTTTATAACTTTGTCAATTCTTGTCTAAATACCTATAAATTAGTATCAAAAGATAGGTGTAACTGTGGGCTACAAATTTATAACATCGTCCATCTATTGGGCGTTTCCTGGGGGCTAGAGGGGGTGCCGAACCACCACCTTTACCCTAAAAATAAGCATATTTCTTTCAATAAAAAGTTTTTTTTTTCAACAAACGGTTATTTTTTTTATACAAAAAATTGCTATAATTTTATTCCAGACCGTCAATGATTGATGTTTATTAAAGTTGGTGGTGGATATGGTGGTGATGGTTTAACACACCCTAATTTCAAAAATATTTAATTCTCTAATTATAAATAAATATTTCTATATTTAATAAAATAAGTGAAACTAGTACACAGTATAAAAAACATAAAAAATTTTTTTGCTACAAGAATTTCATTTATTGGTGGTGTGCTTATTGACTTGTGGGAGGGGCGTGTGCCCCCCCCTCCAACCTAAAAAAATAAATAAGTAAAATCAATCAATCTTTATAATAACAACTATAATTATTTTAAAATGAGTTAACAATTCAAAACCTGACAATGAGTTAACAATTTAAAATAAGTTAACAATTTAAAACCTGAATTAGGCTTTTTGCACCAAGTATAATCTACAAGCTAAAGATAAAGACCACAACCGAGCCTACTTTTGAAAAAAAAGTCTTTTCGCTGCTATTCGTAAATTTTGGTTAAGTTGAGAAGTTTGTTAAATAGAGTGGTAATGGTTACCCACAACCTACAATAAAAAGATGTTGAATTCTTAAAAATAATTGTATCTTTAACAAACAAAATAAATTAGTATATATCATTTTTTGATATTTCATTAAATATATTTTATTTCATTACCAAAAATATCAGTGTTGTATCCTATAAAAAAATGTAACAATCAATTTTATTGTTCTGTATTAAAACATTTTAGATATCCTAAGTTTAAATAGTTGTCTTAGCTTTTAGTAAATAATTAAGATAGTCAATTTCATAAATGGAACACTATAATAATCATTTGTAACAATAGACACCACGTGAGGATAAGCCAGAGCTGCCTATCAAAATATTTTGCAAGTCACAACACTTGTGCAAAGGTCATTGCAAGTCAAATACTTTTATTCTTCTCTAAAAACATTTATAAAAAAAAGTAAAACAAAAACATATGGTTTAATACCAGGCATACCTGACTTGATATGACTACTTCAAGTTATATTACTTACAATACCTTTATACAAGTTTCATCATATGCCGTATCTGTTTTGTAAGTTTTATCACTTGCAGTATCTATTTTTAAAGCTTCATTACAAGTAATATCATAAGTTGTTACATATTACACTTCAAAAAAAAATCAACTCTCTTAGTCCAACATCAGCGGAAGCTGAAATTTTTTCATGTTGCAGTCAACAGCGTCAGTATCAGTATTACCTTTATTCCAGTAAGAAATTGTGTAAACTTTGTCTTGTTTTGTTTTATCAAGTTTTTTTATTCTCTACCATCATTCATGTCATACTTTGAATACTTACTATTGTACCACTCATGGCAAAGTTTTTGCCCAACAATTCTATCTGACATTACATCATCTTAGTCATGAAGTTGTATTTACAATGTATTTAAACACTTTATTTCATTGTAAAAGAGTTCAAGCAACTGTCATTTTAACTTTCTTTTGTCTTTTTCATCCATTTTTTGGCATTTGCATACATATTTTTTTGAAATATCTACTCATTTATCATTATGCTTCATTTGATTTATCATCTCTTTTTATGGGTTTCTGAATAGACCACATAACTATATTTTTATGGGTTTCTGAATCAACCACATAACTACATTTTTATGGGTTTCTGAATCCACCACATAACAATATTTTCTCTAGATAATTGATCTAAACTATCTAGGTAATTTAATTTGTATGAAACATAACAAACTGTTGCATTAGGTGATTTTTCTTCAGCCTCACTAAACATTCCCATTAACTCTTCACTATTTATATTGTGAAGCCTTGCACATGCTACTTCCTCCTTGAGAGTCTGGTTAATAGAAAGTGAGAAATATCTCTTACATTGATGAGTTATGACATCTCCCACTGCAATAAGACAAGCAAAAGTCATATTGATAAAGTGTTCATCAATCAAACAAAACATTTTTTATTGGATCTAAAATATTTGGTTCAAGGTCATTTTCAAAAGTGAACCTGGTTTTGATTTAGAATCTGCAATTTTTAGTAAAATATTTTTTAATACCAGGATTCCACTATAATGGTCAAAATTATCAACAGTCACACAAAACTTTGCCATCCAGGCTGGAAACTGGATGACAAAGTTTTATTTAACTTTGAGGAGGTGGTTTTCCAAATAATGCAAGAACACACTTTTTCTTTAGAGCTGTTTTGTTACAAAATACAGCTCTAAGAACTTTTTTTATAGTTCTGCATAATAATGTTAAATGGTTAAAAAATGCTCAAACTCTTTTAATTTTTAATAAAAATAAAACAAGTATGAAAAAAAATATGAAGACGATTTCCTAGATACCTTGGAATGATACCTCGTGGTAGTTTTTGATCAGCTAAAAACTAACAAATGTTTTTAAATCACCTTTGCCATGTTTAAACCTCAACTTGTTCATAGCCAAAACTATTTTAAATGCCATACAATCATACCCAGCCATGAGGTAGCAATTATATCAAGAGCGTGTAAATGGCAGTTTAGCTCATTCAAACATTGCCCTTGAATGTCACACAGTTTGCTTATGGTAAGATGGTTAGTTGCAACTTTGCCTGACATTGCGTTTGATATATTTGAGATGATCGATTGATCACTATCATTAAAAGATGCTAAATGAAAATATAAATAAAAGTTAGATGATCAACTGCTTTACATATATGCAAGCAAATATTCGTAAGTAGCTATAAGCATTTTATTTGCCTTAATATTATATACAACTTTAACTTATTTTAGCTTTTAAAGTTCTGAAATTTTCATTGCCTTTTTTTTAAGCTTTAAGATTGTATATTATCTTACTGTAATAATATGTTTGCAAATTTTGTTTAAGATCTCTAAGTTCAGCTCTTAAAACTTTAACAATTTGTTTCTTTTATGTAATTTTTGTCTCAGTACTTTCAACTTGTATGCCATGCTTTTTAATTTTGCTGTCACTATTACTAATTTTTTTCAATACTTGCTGGATGTAACAGCAAGCTGAGAAGTTAAAAAGGACAATCAGATTGTAAGTAATTTATCACCACTAAATCACAAGCCTTTATTTTCCAAACATTATGTTAACAATGAATAGGCATGAATCAAGAGGAGAAATAAGCCCTAGAAAAAAAAGGTTTGAATACCAGATTGAATCTGGTATTCAAACCTTTTTTTTCTAGGGCTTATTTCTCCTCTTGATTCATGCCTATTCATTGTTAACATAATGTTTGGAAAATAAAGGCTTGTGATTTAGTGGTGATAAATTACTTATGTGCTTAAGTGGTGAATTATCTAAACTACTTAAAACAGTAGTAAGAGAACTACTTGGAGGGACATGATGATAGAAAGACTGGCAAGATTTGTGCAATGCATATACAGGGTTCATTACAAAATTCCTTAAAACGAATACTATCCCTTGTAAGGTTGCAAAACCAACTTTTGCATCTTTTCAAAACCCTAAAGAAATGTGGTTTACAAATGTTTAAACTAAATAATAGTTATAACAAATGACTTAACACTGTTAATGAATAAAAAAGGTACATATCTATTTTTACAACAACTGCAAGTTTTGGCCGGTAAAAAGAAGTGTGTGTTTAAATACTCTTTAACTGTACTAAGAACAAAAATTAAAGTTGCTTTTTGTGCCTATTGCCGGGGCACAAAAAGCAACTTTATTTACAAAAAAAAATGTAAAGAAAGTCTTGAATAACTACCGAATAATAATATAACATTAAATTATAAACAATATTATACTTTTATTATTGAAAACATTTTTAATAATACTGTATTATTGCGTAATTAAAAAATACTATTTATACACACAGACAAAAATGCTAATGTATACTGACATCATAAAACATGTGATAATATAAAGAAAATTTAAAAGATACATTGCAAATGTTTACATAAAAAAGGAAAACTGTTTTTAAAATACCATCATACCTATAGTAATCAACGCTTATGTTTTCAATTTCAATGAAACCAATAAAATTTTAGAAACTATAAACAAGTCACACTAAAATAAATAGTAATTTCACTTTTAAAATAAAATAAACTAGTAAAATTATACAAACTAATATTAATTAATATAAAAAATCTAAAAAACTACTGAAAAAATAAGAAAAAGAAAAAAACATCTTATTGGCAGTCTATATCTAATTGTATTAATATATATATATATATATATATATATATATATATATATATATATATATATATATATATATATATATATATATATATATATATATATATATATATATATATTATATATACATATATATATATATATATATATATATATATATATATATATATATTATATATACATATATATATATATATATATATATATATATATATATATATATATATATATATATATATATATATATATATATATATATATATATATATATACATATATATATATATACATATATATATATATATATATATATATATATATATATATATATATATATATATATATATATATATATATATATATATATATGTATATGTAATATATATATATATATATATTATTATTATATATATATATATGTAATATATATATATATATATATATATATATATATATATATATATATATATATATATATATATATATATATATATATATATATATATATATATTATACATATAGCATAAATAATTACTAAACTAACCAAATAAAATTAAACTTGTTCGTACCCCTCTTACCACCCACTTACGGAAATCAGAAAAACAGAAATGAGGTACCAAAACTGCTCACTTTTATAGACTATCTGCTCAATAATATTTTTCAATGAAATTTGGTAGGTAGATAAAAAATATATGTAAAAAACTATCTGGGTAGGTTTGCAAACTATCTGAGCATTTCTTTGACAATAATTTAATGTGAGAACAACAACCAAGTTTTTAATACAAATAAAAGCAATACAAAAATTACCAACCACACATAAATGTTATATATTAATCAAGTTTAACTATTCTTTTTTTCAAAAATAATCTAAGTTTAGTAATGTTTCTTAACAGAAACGCCACAAAAAAACATTCGCCTGACGATACCTAAAAAAAAGTTCAAAAAACCTGGCACAAAATTTTAGTACAAAATTCGGTACCGTAAAACACGGATTTCCGCGTACCTACTTATATCTCTCTTAAACTCTCTCACTCCTGTAAACTCTCTCACTCCAGTAAACTCACTCACTCCTGTAAACTCTCTCACTCCTGTAAAATCCTGAAAGTTGATGTAAATATCTAAAGCCATGATGTAAATATCTAAAGCCATTTCTGAAATTTCAGGTAAATAAAATAAGAAATATAGCTATGTACAACCATAATTCATTCAAAATAGTTTTTATTTTATTTTAATAAAGACAACAATAGGTAATAAAGTCAGTTTATTAAAGTTTAAATGGTTATAGTTTGTTTAAAAAATGTCTTCATGGTAATACAAAAAGCAAAACTGAGTTGCTTAATGGAATGATTTGGAAATAATGTCCAAAAGATATCTATATCTTACATACTTTAAAAATTATGAACGTTTTTTGGAGCATGATTATATAATTTTTTTAAAAATGTAATTCTCCCCCCCCCCCCCCCATGGCCAAGAGAATCACTGCATTTGAGGAGGCTTTTTTATTGTGGTTACAACCCTCTCTCTACTCTTTAACTCTAAAACATAAACCTTGATAAACAAGAATGCTACGCAGAGAAACAATTTGAGAGTAGTACTACCAGGGACATGGTGAGGATCAAACTTGGAACTTCTTGCATATGAAGTGAGCGCTCTACTAATACATTACTACTCTTAGGGACGGATCCAGAGGGGTTCAAAGAGTCATGCTCCAGCAGCATTTTAATTTTCGATTATTTTTTAAAGCAAAATTAAATATTGTGTTGAATTTTTATTGCTAATAAGTAATTTTTAAAATTTATTTATTCATTTTTATACATAGTAATTTAAGAGCGCTATTTTAATATTACTTTTTTAAATGTTTTGATCAGTCAACCTATGATGCTTCCTGATTTGCCTGCTCCTTTCAAAAATGTTTTTGATAGTCTGCACCCCTCAAAAGACACTTTTGATTGGCTTGGTTTTTTAAGCTAATCAAAATAAGATTTTAAGGGTTGCGAGCCCAATCAGAAAAATATTTGACTGGTGCAGGCCAATCATACAAGTTCTTACTGCAAATTGGAAAACAAAACAAAAAAAAATTGAATATATACTGTTTCACAAATTTAAGTGCTATAAACAAGTATTATGGCGGATACTATATACTATTCAAATTGTTTTGAAATGTCTTTTAGATGAAAATATCTTTCAAGCTCAAAAGGAATTGTTATTGCTTAATATTATAGAAAAGATTCATAATATTATTAGAGAAAAGTTTTCTTTTAATAAAGACGCTAAAATAAGTTCATTTTATTAAATGTGCAAAGTTTCATGTATTCAGTTTCCCTTATCTCAGAGATTATGAGTAGGAGACGATTTTCAACCAGTGAGGTAAGATTTTCTTAAATAATAAAGTAAGTTTTCAAATAAGTTTATGTGTCACACAACACTCATTTGTGTGTGTGTGTATGTGTGTGTGTTTGTGTGTTACAGGAAAATCTTTATTTTTAAAGAAAATTAAATTACATTTTTATAATATAAAAAAGATTAGTTACTAGTTTAAATAACAGCAAATAAATATTTCTAACTATTATCAAATTATATATAAATACTAATTTTTATTCAAATCATTCAATTATTTTTTCTCAAAATGATTTTTATCAATGGTTCAAAATGAAATTTTGAACCATTGATAAAAATACTGCTTCTTCTATTATTGTTTCCCAAAAAGCATTTAATTCCTATTGTAAAAATAACAGATTACAGGCTTGGTCGGGAAGCGGGTGCGATCGCACTCGATAATTGACCACGGAAATAATATTTAGTTGCGAAAAACCGGCCAGATTTTTTAGTTGTTTTGAGAACATTTCAAAAACAAACAAAAAAGCGCAAAAAGATTAACTGGACCGATGAGAGACAGTTAAAAAAAAAAAAGCTTTTAACGCTAAAAAATTTTATGCAAACTAAACACGATTAGAGCAAATATTTTTGAAACGTCGGTTTTTTATAATTTTTTTAATAAAACGAAGTCACATTTTTTATATAAAGTAACAACTTACTATTAATGATTGTTTATTAAGGTGACAAATGTTCTCCGATTTATCAAAGAGTATATATAATTTTTATTTATATACTTATGTCTTATTTACAGTGCTGGATTGAGGAGATGGGGGTTGGGTGGGGGGAGTAAAAGGACTATAGCCTTGGGACTCATAATGTTAGGGGCTGCGAAATAGTCAAGAGGACCATTCGGTATTTTTTTCAGTCATTTTTACGCTGTGGCACATAAAACAAGCCGCCAAAGTTATGCAGTCCCCGGCCCTGAAAAGTCCAACAAAATTCAACCAATAAAACTAACGCTAGGTGATTTATTTATTAATAAAAAAGTTTTTTTAATAACTGTTTTATTCTTTGCGTAGTTTGAAAAGTTTAACACATTTAAAACAATTTTTCTTAGTAAGATGAACAAATGAAATAATTAAATCATTGAGTTACTGTAGAAATTCAATTAGCTAAATAGAAATTAACCAAAAACGTTAAATTACTATGTGAGGAGGAAGCGGAACTGCTTCACAATACCGCTGATGATGTTTAGTGAGTGGGCTTTATAATTTTAATTAGGATTTAAAACAGAAAAAAGTAATTTTAAGTTTAAGTATAACAAGTTTGTAAGAATGGCTGAAGCAAAAATAATTGAAGTTAGTAAACAAATTTCTAAAAACTTAAAACCTTTTCTTTCTTGCGCGAAAGTAATCGGTTATCAGGTACACTGAGGAAAATGGATTAGTGGTTAAAGTTATTTGTATTAACTTTGATGATTATTAATTATTTATTATTAGAAATTTCGGTTAGTATTTTTTGAACCAATAGAATTAGTTGTTCGTAGATTTTATGGGTTTTTTGTGTTTTTTTTTACTTTTCTGCACAAAGATTGTTTGAGAACATTCAAGTTTATGTTTGTTTCCATGTATGTCCGTAAACAAAATTTACGTTAAAATAATGAACTTAATTAAGGAAATGTACATAAATTTAAATGTTCTCAAAACAACTAAAATATCTGGCCGGTTTTTCACAACTAAATATTATTTCTGTGGTCAGTTATCGAGTGCGATCGCACCCGCTTCCCGACCAAGCCTGAGATTACCAAGTGTCATATCAGAGTCTAATATTAGAATAGAATGAGAATAGTTTGTAGTAAGAAATGAAGAATAAGAATAGTTTGTAGATATATTGCTACAAACTGTTCTTAGTCTTCATTTCTTACTATGTGCGCTTTTAAGGGTTATTGGAATGCAAATTGAGTCATATTATCCTTATGAAAATGATTGAAAAAAAGTTGAGAAGAATGTTTATGATATGTTTTTAATTGCACTATTAGATCACGTGTTGAACACTCTTAAAAAAAAGTACACATTTTTCGTTGATCTTCAGTTATCATAGGATTTAAACAGGCTTAAATTTAAATACATCAGTAAATAGAGATCATTTTGTCCCTATAATATCTTTAATAAATTCATCTGAAAAATACAAATACTCCTGATATTTTTACACCTAACTTACCTGAATTACCTGAATCAAATCAGGTTGCTACTTTAAATTCAACTATCTTGTTTCTAAATTCAACTCAGGAAGCAGAGATATTAGGGTCAAGTAAAATTACTTCCTTTAAAAAAAGAAAGCAACTTAAAATTGATCAATTTAATTTTAACTCACTATTTCCTGCAGAAAAAAAGTTTGTTCAGTATCTTCGCAGCCTAAATTTAAAAGTTGTACTACACTATCTATTGCTGCAAGTATTCTTCAATATCTAGCGAGTCAACGAAAAAAGTAAACTTTGAAAGTAATTCTTCTGTTTTTGGAAATTATTGTAAACAAATATGATGTTGGACTCTATGCAACTTATGGAATTGATAAATTGAGTAATGATGAAAAATATTATTTACTTAAAAATGTTCATAAACAAAATTCTAGTTTTTATTTTGAATGGAATAAATCAGGCTGCTCTTTTCAATTCACTTAGCTCTCTTTGTTTTTGTTATTTGCTTGCATATTCAGAAAAAAAAAGGTGCTTTTTGTGTTAATTGTGTTATTTTTTGATCTAAAGAATCAAGTTGTAATGCAAGCAAACTTGATCAGGTTTATAAATCTTCATTTGCGGCATATTCAAAAGCCATTAAAATTTTTTATAAACGTGCTGAAAAATCACCTATTCACCTAACTGTAACTCTTAAAGCGTGTGTGAAAGCGTGAAAAATCACCTATTCACCTAACAGCTCCTCTAAAATCCTCTAAAGTTCTCATTTTTCAAAAGCCTACTCTAAAATCCTCTATTATACTCTAAAAAGTTAAAAATTTGATTAAATCTCCTCTTTAACTCCTCTTTTTTATTTTTTTATTTCTTGGTGGTAGTATATTGTTCAAAATACCCATTTCTGGTCTGCAAAACTGGTTAACCCCTAAAAGTGCATCAGGTTGTAAAAAATTGCTTTAGCAAGTCTTTGTCATTTAACATTATTGACCCCTTTATTGACATTGACATATAACATTATTGACCCCATTATTGACATTATTGACCCCTTTCTAAACCCCATAAGTTTAGAAACATGGACGTTAAACCTATGAAATAAAAAAAATCATGTATTTTTATTAAAAATTGTTTAGTTTTGGGAAAAAAACCTCTAAATTAGATACAAAATCTCCTTTAAAATCCTCTAATATCTTTTTTTTCTTATGATATTTTTTTGTGGCCACCCTGTTTATTCAGCATATTAACTTGTTGATTTGTTTTATTTTTATTAAAATTTGTTTGTATTTTACTTTTGAAATTTACATAATAGATTCAGATAAATGTAAAAATTAATAAAGTGTAGTTTATTTATTTTGTTAAATACCAATTGAAGAAAAGCTTCTTAAATCCGCCTTTTAGGTTGCTTTGTTTTTTAAAACTGCTTATGCAGACTCTAGAAAATTTTGTTTACACCTGAAATGACAAAATGTATTCATTAACCCTAATAATCCCTTACCAATTTGTTAAAATTACTCTAGAAAATTTGTTATTAATTTAGGTATCAAAATTTATTAATTTAGATATCCAGAGTTCAAATTCATCTCTTGGCATATTTTATGCCATTGGTTAGGTAAAAAACGTAAATTTCCTCGCTACATGTTCATTTGTGATGCTTTGCAATAAGTCCATTAGTACTTCTTGGGGCATATAAGATAAACAATATTAAAAAAACAAATATACCATCTATGGCTGGCCCGAAGGCTTCCCCCCTTCCCCTATCAATTAATTTTTTGTTTATTTAGTCAGCAAATTAAATTTTTTGAAATTTGCCGCCTGACTGATCTAAAAAAGATCAGTCAGGCAGCAAATTTCAAAAAACAAGGCCTTTTTTTTTTTACTTAACAAATATTTTAATGGCACAACCCCTTCCCTTTTCCCCTACGTGACACCTACTTGCGCTGACCCATTTTTTCAATATTAGTTACAGGTGAATGAGCTAACCATGCTTGCGCTGGCCCATTTTTTCAATATTAGTTACAGGCGAATGAGCTGATCATGCCGCTCTCCTATTTCAGCATTCCTCAATATAAATTCTGGATCCGCCCCTGACTCCATTAACTCAAATTAACTGCTATATTAGCCCAAGTTTCATTTTCAAGTCTCATGGAGCTTGGATGAAAATAAATATGCTTTTTATACTAAAATTTACAAAAAAATTTATGAAAAGTAAAAGAGTTAAAGTTTCAAAAAGTATTATTGTAGAAAGGTCATCATCATCGTCGTCGTCATCATCATCATATATAGAAAATAAATTTAATGTACCATTAATATGTGAAGTTTACATTAAATGTTGCACAAAAAAGGAGTACAGACTGTCAAGAAACATATGTATAGAGAAGTGTTTAATTCTGAATTCAATCTTGTTTTTTTAAGACCAATCAGTTTGATAGAGAGTCTACTAATTTCTTTTATAAAAGAAAATAGTTCTTTCATTCTAATATTCATAGTTCAACAAACTAAAAATGTACTTTGTGAAATAAATATGTTGGTGGCAAAACTACTATTTGTATTGCATCAGCCTTTGGTAAAAGTCTTGATGGAAATGTTTGGTGTAAGTCATAAAATAGAAATTCAATTTATTTTTGTCAGGAAGATTATACAGGTTATGGGAATTTAAACAAAGTTACTCAAAAAAAGTCTCTGGTGCATAAAGTTGATAGTGTTGTAATAGGGATAATAAAGTTGATAGTGTTGTAATAGGGATAATAGCTGTATTGAAAAAACTTAAGATTAGGAATAAATTCTTCTCTTTTGTAAAAACAGCTTTATGTTCTGAAAATTAGATTATCAGATTTTTAACTTTGAAAAGCTATCAAAGATTATCAATTTTTCAAAGATATCTTTTTTTTCAGTCAAACTTCTGAAATAATATTATAATATGTCACGTTTTATAATGTACAAGGACTGTCACATTAACACTAAACCAGAGTTTTTTTTTTTACTGTACTTATATACCTAAGGTCAAGGCCTACTGGAGGGGCTTTTCATTTTTTTTTATTTTTTTTTTTTAACTGTTGTTGCAACTCTTTATCAACTCGGTAGCTTCTAAAGTCTATTTTATCAATGACATTTTTTTTCTAAGGTTATAAAAACATAATTGATTTTATTTACCTTTTGAAAAAGGTTACCTTGCATCGCTCTTTGCTGGGTCCCATAGATAAGTTAATGTTTTTATCTCCAAAAAATATGTTAATAAAAGTATTAGAGTCATTTAAAAGAATTTAAAGTTCATAATTTTATTATAAAAGGGTTTTTTTTAAAAACAAACTATTGCCACAAAATGTCAAAGTGTAATTTTATATTTTTTCAATGAAACAGATTTTCAATGAAACAGATATTTTGTTAAAAAGATTTTTTTTTTATTTTTTTTTTAGTGAAGCAGATCCACTTCGTTATGAGGAGTATTATGAAGGGTGAGTTATAAATTTCAGTTTTTAGATTTTTAGTCATTTTATAGAAGAAGTTTTCTAATAGTACTTAATTGGAAGAAAAGAAGAAAAATATTTATTAGTAAATGAAGTAAATTGTTAGGCAATAAGTATGAAGTATTTGTTAGGCAATAAAATAAGATAAACAATGATTTTTATATAAAGTTCTGACAAGTGCAGCATATAGTGAGTATAGAATAATTTTTTAAAAAATGTTGTGTATGGAGTTATATGTTATGTAGGATAAAGTGTTATGAAGTTTTACAAATGTAGCGTACAGTATAAAAATAAAAATATTTGTTTTATAACCAGGTGAAACCACAAATTTTGAATTTTTTAATTTAAAAATTTCTTAATAAAACTTTTTAAATTTTTTAGATTGCTCAACTTTGTAGAAAAATCACTTGATGTTCACAAGGTATGATTTACTTTTTAACCTGAAATTTATTAGGCACTTAAGGATGTAAGTAGCAGGAGTTGTAAATGCAGGAATCTAGCAAGAGATGTGCATAGGAATGTCAGTGCTTAGGAATGTGGTATACCTTGGAATATGAGTACCTGAGTTTTTTATGTAAAAAAGAGCTAAATGTTGAGGAAAAAGATAATGAATTATCTGAAAATTTAGAGAAAAAAAATAAGATTTACCAAAAGAATTATAACTGTCTAATTTTGCTATGTTTTACTTTTCATTGTATTAAATTTTTTTAAATTTCATAGCACGAGTTATCATTAGTTTTATATCCTGTTTTTGTTCACTTGTATCTGGAGTGTGTTTACAAAGGTTATATAAATGAAGGTAAGTTTTTCTTATTATGAATGTATTTTTCTTTACCAATGATATTTTAAAATATTTTTTAAAGAGTTTTTTCAGATTCAATGTTTATGAGGAATTTGATTATTCTTTTGGTTATATATTTTTTCTCTGCAATTTATTTATTTTTAAGTGTGAAAGTTTTTTGTTCTAATAATTGCACAAAAATACAAGTGCAAAAAATATTTTTAAAACAACAAATGCATGTTTTAACTGTTTTACATTTTTTTTTATCCTTTTTGTTTAACCATAAAATTGAGAAATTTACAAATTTATTTATAGTTTTACAAAATTAGCTTCGGTGTCACTCATATAGTTAAAAAATAGTCATTGGAGTGACACCCTAATAAAATAAACAAATAAAGCAAAAAATAAACAACAAGACGTAATAAAAAAAAAATCAATAAAAAGAAGAACAATAACTATTAAAACTATTTAAGGGATCCCTAAGTGCTATAAAGATATGATCTCATATGAAAGAGTATTAAAAAAAAAATGTTTGATGTATATTATTTTTTCTAAAACGTAATAATGAATACACACTAACAAATTTAATTTTCAAAACAACGCTTTTTTCAATTAAAAAAATGCGTCTTGTCCAAAGTTTATTGACTCTACTGCCTCAAAAAACTAACGTTTGTACATCAAATTAAACAAAGTAGACATAATGTCATTATTGCAAACTATTAGTAGGTAATTAAGTTTAAAAGTTAAGTCGTTTTTTTTCAACTAACATATAATTACTTACAAGAATAAGTTTTGTAGCATTTTGTGAAAATATATTTGTATATTAAATTTTTTTTTATAATTTTTATTTATATATTTGTGTTATAAGGGCAATTACATGGCCAAAAAGGAATAGAAGTCAAATTTTAAACTCTTTTTAGTCAGTTTTTAACAAATGAATATTGATGTAGACGCATGAAAGTTGATTTAAAATATCCTTAGTACAAAAATAAATTTATTTCAGTCATTTTTATGGTTTCAAAAGTGATGGCTATTCTCATTTTCGCTTAAAAAAAAATAATTATTGTAAAATGTTTTAGTTAAATTAATATTTATGTTAATTTTGCTATATTTTTTTGGTTCAAATTGATAAGGTTGAATAGACATTAGAAATTAAACTAAGACAGGCTCGAATTAACGCAAAAAAATCTAATCATGAAAAAATATAAGTTTTTTGCTCTCCCCCCCTCTCTCTTATAGCTCGCGCTGATGTGCGTTAATGGGGGAGGGGTTGCGTTAGTATAAAATTGTCTCTTTAGCACGTAATTGTTATCTTTTAACATACCATCTCTCATATTTAAATGATATCTTATGATTTTCTTGATTGGCGGAGTTTAAAATAGCGAAAGTTACTGTTATAATTTACAGCCTAAGTTGCAGTTACAGTGTAATGAGCAAGTAACGTATTTAATACTATTAATTAAGTAATTGTTTTTACTTAACATGATACTTAAAAAAGTAAAAGTAAAAAAATAAGAATAAAAAGCAAACATTACTATATTTCAGTGACCGATCCAGGGGGAGGATGGGGATACGCGTTGTCCCCCTCCCCCCACCAGAATCTGAAAGTCTTGAAAATATCATAGAAATTGAGAACCTTGTTTTTTGCTTTTTTTTAGGAGATGCAAACATGGTACAAAATTCAAAAATATTTTAACATCCCCTCCACTAAAAATTCCTGGATCCGTCATTGTAATATTTAAACCACTTTAATTAGTCATAGAAAACTGTTTAATACGATCACGCTGACGATAAAACACACGTTTTTAATGAGTTTTAATTGTTGTTGTAAAAAGCTATAAAACAACAATAAAACAAAGTTGTCTTTAAAATATAAATAGCTAATGTAAAACAACTTTGTGACGCTGTTTTGTTGCTGTTTTATACAGTTTAATAATATAAAATGTGTTTAAAATAAAACAAAGCAAATAAATGAAATTGCTTTAATTAATAAATTAAAAAATTATCGTCAATAAATCAAAAAACATCGTCAAAAACTTAATAAAAAATTAGATACCACATTTTTTATAATTTATTGTTTCTTGAATAAAGGACTAATAAAAGTTTAAATATAATTAAGTTTTTCATTTAAATGGTTTTTAAGTTGATGTTTTTATTCAATTTTTATATTTCAATTGTTTTCCAATAAAAAGTGAAACAAAAAAATTTGGTTTAATAAATCAAATTATACTTCATATTTAAAATAAGGCTTAAAAACGTTAAAGTAAAAAAATAGCTGGTTTTTATTAGCATTTTTATATTGTTTGAAAAAAAAACTAATAAAAAAGAATTAACTAAAAATATATTAATTAATAATTATTAGAATTAATAATAATAATAATTAATTCTTTTTTATTAGTTTTTTTTAAACAGTATAAAAATGCAAATAAAAGTCAGCAATTTTTTTGTTCTAACGTTTTAAAGCCTTATTTTAAACACGAAGTTTTGATAAACAAAGATAAAAACCAGGCTGTTTTGTTAGAATGAAGAAAAAGTTTGAGTTAACGTCTTTTTCCTTTTCAACTTTTCGCTTTAACGACCTTTTAAAAATTTTCCACGCAGAGATTTAAAGTAATTAAATTCAAAAATGTTTTAAATTGAAAGAAAATCTCAGCGCAAAAGAGCAAATCATCTATTCATCTATCGATTCAGGATTATAAATTTTGTGTGATGTTCTTTATGATAAAAACATTACTTTTAAGAATTGCTTAAAAAAATGCTAAGCCAGAAAAAAAGTAATTAAACAACCAAAAAAAAACGAATCGCAAAAAGATTTTTTTTGCGATTCGTTTTTTTTTTTTTGGTTGTTTAATTAAGTGTGAAAGTGTGAAAAGCAATCGCGATACGCTTAATATCAGCGCTGTAAGACTTTTGAATAAGTTCTGAACTATTTAAAACTATTACTATTACTACTAATATAACTATTACTTAATAACTTTTTTTTAACGACGTCTTTCAATCAAATTCTATTATACTGTTTTTGCAAAACTAATTAAAAAAACTTGATTAAAACTTAACTATTTAATCACGACTTTTTTTTACTTGAAAATTGAAGTAGATATTCCAAAGTTGTTGTGACGTACTAACGTGATTTTTAACGACTAACAATCGAGTTTCAATGGTAAAAAAAATAAAATCAAAATGGAGTTGTTTTTCAGTGATTTCGGCAATTGCTTTTTGTTAGCATGCATTTATTATTACAATTTAGTGAAAAAGAAAAAAACTTACATATTTTTTTTTAATAATCTTTCATATGAGATCATATGTTAGGAGCACTTAGGGATCCCTTTAACAATAATATTAAAACTTTTAAAGAAGCAAGACAAATAAGACAAAAAAATGACAAAGTGAGTGAGCTGATATGAGAGATAATGAATGAATGAGATAACACAATGTTTAATGATAGAAAATAAAAAAATAAAATAAATTACTCCTTACATCAGTCTCATTGTAAATATTTATATAATATAAAATGAATATTTTGATCTGAGTAAACTTAGGTTAAAATAAGACTGATGTAAGGTGTAATTTATTTTATTTAACATCATTATTTTATTGTCATTAAACATTGTGTTATATTATTCATTCATTATCTCTCATAGTACATGATATATATATATATATATATATATATATATATATATATATATATATATATATATATATATATATATATATATATATATATATATATATATATATATATATATATATATATATATATGTATATATATATACATATATATATATATATATATATATATATATATATATATATATATATATATATATATATATATATATATATATATATATATATATATATATATATATATATATATATATATATATATATATATATCAGGCTTTCACAGGAAGACGTGCGATTTCGCGTCTTTATATGACCATGCAAGTTACATTTTGCTATGACAGGTTGACCGCAGCTAATTCAAAAAACATTTTAGAAATGCGCTAAATAAAAAATATTCTAAAAAAGTGAAATTAATTACATCAAAACTTCTTAACAAATGTTTTTATATTAGCGAAACGATTTTAAATAAAGTAACAATTACTGAAAAAAAGTTTTGTTATTTAAATATAATTGATAGTTGTATATATTTTTTAAATTTAAAAAATAAATTGTTTAAGTGTTCATTTCTAAAATAAATTTTATTAAAAAATAAAAAATTGTTTTGTTTTTATAAACAATGACATTTTACGACTACGAAAGTCTCTTTAACGAATTTAAATATAAGAATGATTAAAGTTAATGCATTTAAAAAGATAAACAAAATTTCGTTAATAAAAAAAGTTTTAGAAAACCGTTGCAATTTAATAAGTTTGATCTTAAATGCTTTTATATTATCGAAACGCTTTTAATGAAGTAAAAAAAAAACACTTCTTATTAATTTTAAAAAAAGAAAAATATTTAACTTTTGAACATATTAAATAAATAAAAAATATATTAAAATGTTGAAACAAAGATTGAAAAGGTTTTTTAATGCGTAAGTTAAATAGAATAAGCATTTTAGTTTGATGAGATTTGTTTTAGTTGGTTTACATATGTAAATTTATTTTTTTGTGTTTTTGCTTTAACTAAGTATTTTTTTTTATATGAAAAATCATAGTATATAGAAAGTCACTAATAGAGCTTAGTCATTTAAACCTTTGTTTGAAAAATCACTGATAGTAGACAGATTTAAAACTTTGTTCAACTGAAAAATTCTGTATAAGTATGAAATCTTAAAAAGATGATAAGATTATAAGAAATCTTAAAAAGATTATAAGATTATAAGAAATCTTAAAAAGATTATAAGATTATAAGAAATCTTAAAAAGATTATAAGATTATAAGAAATCTTAAAAAGATTATAAGATTATAAGAAATCTTAAAAAGATTATAAGATTATAAGAAATCTTAAAAAGATTATAAGATTATAAGAAATCTTAAAAAGATTATAAGATTATAAGAAATCTTAAAAAGACTGTAGATCAAAAGTAGACTAATATATGAGACTGTTGTAAAAAAATTCTGCACATTGTTATTTGTTGTAATAGTAGAGTGCTTGCTTCATAAGTGAGAAGAGTTTGATATTCACCACACCCTTGGTAGTAGTAGTGCACTCAACTCGTTTCTCAGCACGGCAGCCTTGTTTGTCAAGGTTTGTGTTTTGGGGTTAGAGAGTTGATAGAGGGTTGTACGCACAATATAGTAGCCTCCTCTACTGTAGTGGCCTTCTCGACATTGCGAAGGTTAATAATATATAGATTGTTTCTCCTCTTTCTAACATTCAATAACTATTTCTGTTTCTAATTTTTCAATATTACATTATCTTTCTTTTACATATATATATATATATATATATATATATATATATATATATATATATATATATATATATATATATATATATATATATATATATATATATATATATATATATATTTTATTTGTGTATGTATATATATACATAAAGGCATAAAGGTCATATTTATATGACAAATTTTTTTATTTTTTTATTTTTTCTTGTTAGAAGTATTCGTGCCAGTCGTTTGAAATTACGCACTTTTCAATTTTTGACCAAATTTGAGCAGTTTTCAACGCAACGATGCGTATCGATATAGATGTCGAATCCAGTTAGTTTTTTCATTTGTTCTCTTCATGTGCTCCTATACCAAAAAAAACACTGTGCTTTTTTTTTTTAAGAAATATATAATGTTTACCTTTCACTGATTTTGATAGAAAAATCAAAATTTGTGTTATTTCAAAGTGAGTTTTTGTTGATCTATGAGGTCATTTTCAGTCATGGTGCAAATTGTCATTTTTTTTTTACTTTACTAAGCAATTGTCATTTTTTTTTACTTCTTATTGGTATCAAATGATAATGTTATTAAAAAATTACTGTAATTGGAACAAATAAAGCCCAACTCAAAATGTTTATCTCCCAAAGATTTGTTACAGGACTTTCTATATTTCAGTGTAGATTTAACTAGATCAAAATGTGTTGATATGTTTCAGAAATATCTATTTAAATTTTGTGTGTGTTATTTTAAATTCTTGTTAAATTTTAAGTGCTCATCACAGAGCACCGGGGTATAGAGTTTTACTACGAAGTTCACCCTAATTTCATTATCAATGTCGTTTATATGACTAAACCGGCATTAATACTCAGACCTCCGATATTAAAGCAAGAACTCTAACCACTGCTTTAGCTGCTATTATATTTATTATATATATAATAAATTTTTCCCTTTAAGACAAATATCTCTAGAAAATATGTAATATAATATTTTTTAAAATATATTTTCAAGGTTTAGAGTATACACTAAGGTATTGGATCGAAATTCAAATTATTAGAAATATTAAAAAAGTTTTGAATTATTAACTCATAGCCAATAGCAAGGGAGCAGTCGTCGTAGCTAACTCCTTGTATCCTTTCTTCGTCTTTTTAAATGGCTTTTTCCAAGAGTTTTTCATTTGGAGTAGGTTCTGAAGTTTTTCCTCATTCTTCGCACGCTCTACATTATCTTGAATGAGTTTTACTGCACGTTCTGATGAGTCGTTAACAACTTCGACAGATTTTACGAAGCTTTGAAACTTATTTTATCCTGGAAATTTTTCCAAAAAATCTGAGGGAGTTTCATCCATAGACATTTTTCAGAAGTATGACATAGAACATCAAAAATTAACCAGGAATCTGGTTAATTTTTGATGTTCTATGTCAAAGGGACAATACCTTGGCAACATTTTGAGACACTCCGTGAAATAAAGTTCATTCATAAGGGTCAAAATGGGATGGCCTAATATATATATATATACATATATATATAAATATATATATATATATATATATATATATATATATATATATATATATATATATATATATATATATATATATATATATATATATATATATATATATATATATATATATATATATATATATATATATATATAAAGCTTATAAATTTTTGTGAAAACCTAGAAAGAGACTGAAACGAAAAAAGTTATTATTGGATGTTTATGGTGTAAGACAATATAAAACTGTTAATTTTTTTTTAGAAAATAAAAAAATATTTTTAAATCATTAAATAATTACAAATATAAAAATTAGTTAATATAAGTAAATGTAATATATATTATAATATATACATTTATTTATATTAGCTTACTTTTATATTTGTTTACAAATATAAAAGTTAGCTTTTACATGCATTACATGCATGTGCAATACCAAGAAGTTTTATTATTGGAGTCGGAGTCGCAAATTTGTTTAGCAACTCCACTACAAATGTTGCAACTCTGACTCTACGACTCTGACTCTATAGCCTATATAACTTACTATTTAATTGAGTTAAATTCTATACAGTATATAACTTACTATTTCGTTGAGTTAAATTCTATATAGTTAAAACTTACTAATTAGTTAAGTTATATTCTATATTGAATAAAAATTTCGTTGAGTTAAAGCATATATAATATAATAACCTATTATGTAACATGTTATTTTATAAGTTTTTATAATTTCATATTTAAAGATTTTTTAAACAAGTTATAGTCAAGCTTCTCAAAATAAAACTACTGGTTGGAATCATTTTGAAATTTTAAAGAAATATATTTGTATTTAGCCGCTATACAAAATATTACTTTTTAGGTGTGGGGTTGTCCAAAAATATTTACAAATAGTACAATTAAATTTTTTTTTTTAAACATCTTCGCTTCCAACAAGGCTGCAAACAACCACTAATTAGTGTTGGAAGTTACCGGAAGAGAAAAAATAAAGATTGTAGAGCAAGATAACGATTGACAGATGACTTAAAAGATTGCAAATTATATGAATCAGGAAAGCAAGATGAAGGAAGCAAATTCCAAAGAACTGATGTTCAAGGAAAAAAACATAGATGAATAAGAGTTTTTGGAACACTTAGGAACAGTAACAGAAAAAGGATGAGACTTGATTGAATGATGAGTAACACAAGAGTGAGCAGTGCCCATTATAGTATTTGTAGAAAAGAGAAAGAGAAGCAACAATATGGTGATGTAATAATGGTTGAAGGTTGGCTGTTAGATCAGGTCCAACTATGTTTACAATGTTTTTTTGCAACTTGTCTAAAAGAGAAATAGCATCATTAAAAGATCCGCCCCAGATAAGGCAACAGTATTCTGTACAAGGTCGGATATGAGATTTATAGAGATAGAGAATAGAATCCAGAGCAAGAAAGTGTCAAGCTCGATAAAGGGATGCAACTTTAGCAGATGCTAATTTTGCTACGGATTTAATATATGGTTTCCAAGAAAGATCGGAAGTAAGAGTTAATCCTAGAAGATGAAGGGTAGATGACTCATCAAGTGCATTACTGTTCATAAATATAGGAAAATCTAAATTATTGAGATAATGATTGGCTGAAAAAAAATTAAAAAGAGTATAAGGCCAAGGATTGAACCTTAAGGATCCCCTAAGGTTACAGAATAAGAAGAAGAGTACTGTCTATCAAGGACAATTTTTATACTACGATTGGAAAGGAAGGATTCAATAATCTTAATTTTATGGAGAAGATGTTTCCAGATACACCGTAAGAAGAAAGCTTATGGAGAAGACCAGCATGCCAAACTTTATCAAACATTTTAGAAATTTCAAAAGCGAGGAATAGAAATAAATTAAAAAAAACAAACAAAAAAAACCTTGCAGAATATTTAAAAACATGAAACTTTGTAAAATATTTAAAAACATGAAACTTGCAGAATTTAGCCATTTAAAAAACAAACAGAGCATATGATAGTTGAGAAAAAGTTAGCCAGAAAAAAAGTTTTGATGAAAATATAAATAACCTTTTCATCAAGTGATTTTGAAATTAATAAAAACAAATGACATTACTTGAGAGTATGTGGACTTAATCTGAGGCTTGACATGTGTGTTCAGGATGTGGACTCAATCCAATGCTTAACGTGTGTTCAAGATGTCTATTAAGATGTCAGAATCAATTTTCAGTCTAGATTTAATAAAAAGCTTTTTTTTTTTACCATCTGACGAAACAAGGCAAAAATTTATTACTGATGCTGGGTACTTTGTCTGAAACTTTACCTTTATCTACCCTGATGTTTTTCTATTATTTGTTACATTTTTTATTAGTTACGCTTTTTATTATTTCTTATGTTTATTATTATTTCTTATCTCATGAGATGATTTCTTATCTTATGAGAACACTTAGTCTTAATAAACCAAAATTTTAACTAAAGCTTTGTAGTTGAAAATTTATTTACAGCTGAAAAGTTTTATGACAAGTTTAGCAAGTACCAAGAAAGTTATCGTTTTGAAGACTTACAAATTTTGCGCTTATTAAAGAAGAAAGAGCATATGATATCTAACAATGAATATCTTAATATGTTTCGGTAATTTAATTATTTTTTTGTTCATGTAATTGTAATATACAGTTTTTTTTGTAAATAATGTTAATATTTTAATATTTATTAAAAAATGTAATATAATCACACATCATAAAACATATCAAGATAAAATGTTATATTCTAAATATGTATACTATATATATACTTTCCAGATTCAAAATTGACTCCTAGTTGAATTGTACCAAAATTGTACCCTAGTTATACTAAACTAAACTAATAAACTATGTATTTACAAAAAAGTATATATATTAACAAAAAGTAATTATTCTTTAGTTAAAAAATGACCACATACATCCATGGCAGATATTTATACCACACATATCCATGATATTTTTATATCAAAAAACAAAAAAAATCTGACTTAGGTATGGCATGCAAAGATAAAACTGTTTGCAATTAGTTCCTAAGGTTTGAATCTGTTGAAATGTGTTATGTTTGTTGTTAATCAATTAGGTGTGAATCAGTTAATCATGTAGCTATTCAGTTGACAAAAATAAAAAAATATGCACATTAAAGATTACATTAAAAATAATAAGATTTTGTTTGTGAAATAATGATATGTGATCGTTATCTTTAGATTAGTACATCTTTTGCTCTTGAAAGCGTCATTGTTTTGCTGTATTGCAAAAGTATCAAATATGTTTATGTAAAAAATGTTTTAAAAACATCATTGCTTTGGTGGGTAGTAAAAGTATCAATTATGTTCATGTAAAAAACAAGTCTAACATTTCATTTCTTGTACATGGGTCTAATCTTATTATCTTTCCCAAAGATAAGAATTATTTGAAAAGAATCTAACATTCACACTCTTCCTGGCATCTGTTTATGGGTTTTTGCTCACACGTAAGTTACTATATGTATGTTTGTGTTCTGCTTAAATCTCTGATGTAGTGTTAACTCAATTACCAACTAGTGATTACAACTATAAAACTTACTCTCACCTCAATTTCTAGTATTGAGTTAGATGTGTAATTTTTTCTTATGCATTTATAAAATATCCTGTTCAATGTTTTAAAGTACTGCTTAAAGGAAGTAATTTATAACTACTCGTGGTTTGGTCAGGTCTAGTATCATCACAATTACCCTGCTACTGGTATCATGTTACCCAGTACTACCTGCCCCATGTCTTGTTGCCTTGTAAACCTGTTTTGCATTGTTTTCTGCTTCAGATAATGAATGCTGGATCTTCTTGAATCTACTCATAGATTTTTGCTTGTACCTCCTTGATAGTGGCAATTCATTCTATTATCTCCTAATAAGGGTACAGCTTTAAAACTCTGTTTTATGGTTCTGAGGCCTGCTGGCAGTAAGCTTTTAATAACTCTGTGGTAGCTCTCAGAGTGGCTGATGCCATCAAAAGCTGTAAAATATCAAAATGTTAACAGTGCCATGTTGCGCATAGATGATGTCCCTGCTTTTTGTATGCATTTTTGAGGCCACATAACAAGCCTTAAGTTGTTAAGCTGTAAGTTAATTGGGTTAATTAGCAGGGCTAAGACAACTGTGTAACTCATTGCTTGTGATGAGCTGCTCTATCTATGAGCAAGTTAAGTTCTTTTTAAATCAAACCATGCCTAAAGTTACCAAAAATAATAAGCATAAAAAACCATCATTTCCGTTTCAATATCTTTCCATATATATCTAAAAATAATTTGTGATAATCTATTAATCTTTCTATATATTTTAAAAAACCATCACAACCACCACATAAAAAACCACAACAAAACATCACACCTGTTTCAATTTATTTTTCACAAATATTTGTAGTCTTTGAAGTAGCTTTCCATCGATTGAATCTTACTTCTTGTAAAATTCACTAGATTTGCTTTTGTGAGACTTATTTATATTCTGTCCCTTAAGATATCAGAATTGACAGCTATTATCTTTTGATTTGCAATGACTCCAATAGTCACATGCTTGACTTAGGCATTTACTTACATATCATTTCACCTATTTGTAAAGAAATCAGGTTTGAATCCTTTGATTGTTCTTTAATGTGCTTCCGCTAGCACCTCTTTACTCTTTCGCTTTTCTTTTTGTTTTTCTTCTTCTTCTTCTTGAGACTGCACTCTTATAAATGTAATTTCTGATCAAATTGACCATGCCCATTTGCTTACCCCTCTGCCAGTATTATTGTTATTGTTGATTTAAATGCACACTGAATGACATTGCTCTAACCCACTGAATGACATGGCTTTAACACATGGCTTTAATACCAATGAGATAAAAGAAAAAAATTTCTGTATTTCTCAATCTTTTGCTCAGATCACTTTGTGACCAGTTTTTCATTCACCTACCCTATTCACCCTACCCTACATTCACCTACCCTAGCTAGTATTCAGTTGCTCCTTGTTCTCTTTTAGGTGGTTCCGACCATTAAATAATCCATAAATCTTTTCTCATACTTCTTGTTTGGACTCTTTTCATGAGACTGTCCTTGAGCTAATGTCTTTTTTCTTGCAATAATAAAAATTTTTTTTATTATTGCAAGAAATCAATGTAAAAAGGTGCAGTCTGATACTGCGCTCTATTATCCCCAGTTTAGTAAATCTTGTATCTTATCTCAGAACTTAGGCTTCTAAAGGGCAGCACTAAGTATAGAGCCAAAGAACCAAGGATAGAACAAAACAGGACCAAGGATAAAACCTCAAGGTTCTATTTTTGGTCTTTTTTTTGTTTCTTATCTACATTATTGATCTTCTTGGCAACCTTATATTTAAAGTGGATCTATTTGCTGATGACTCAACTTTATACTCTTTTCTTGACAAAATATCTACTCCTTTTAATCGCTTAGAACAGGTAGGCGGTTTTGAGTCTGATCTCACTTCTGTAACAGAGCGGCTTGTGAATTTTAACTCTAATAAAACTCAGTCTATTTGAAGCAAAAAACCATTGCAATTCTATCTACATTCCTATATTGATGAATGACAACCCTCTCCTTTCAAGTCCTTTTCTTTACCTCTTCTTAGATTATCATTCACTACTGACTTATATCCAATATATCCAATTGATTGCTAAATTAGCATCTGCTAAGGTTGCTGTTCTTTATCATACTTACTACTTTCTTACTTTTGATTTAGTCCTCTACCTCTACAAATCTCTTATTCACATAACTCTTATTCCATATATAGATATGGAATTCTGTTGTCATTTGGGCTGGTTTCTCTAATGATGCTCTTTCTCTTCTAGACAAGGTCCATAAACACATTGTAAATGTTATTAGACATGCTCCATCTGCCAAACTTGAGCCTCTCTCTCATTCTCGTAAAGTTGCACCTCTTTGTCTTTTCTACAAATACTATTATAGTTGCTGCTAAAAGATGCTATTATCTCTAGTCCCATCAACAAAAACTCATTCTTGCTTGACTGATCAATCAGTTAAGTCTCATTCTTTTACTGTCTGTTCCTGCATGCTCTAAAAACTTTTATTTGTCTAGTTTTTTTCCCCGCACTTCAACCCTTTAGAATTCTGTTCCATTTTCATTTTTTCCCAACTCATACAACCTACAACTTTTCAAGTCTTCTGTAACTCCCAACCCAATATTTGTAAATCCCAATATTTAATAATTACATATTTAATAATCACATATTTAATAATCACATATTTAGTAATCACGTATTTAATGACTACATATTTAATAATCACATATTTAATAAAAACATATTTTATAATCACATATTTTATAACCACATATTTTATAATCACATACTTAATAGTCATATATTTAATAATCACATGTTTAATAATCACATTTAATCATCATATATTTAATGGTCATATATTTATAATCACATTTATTAATCACATTTAATAATCATATATTTAATAATCAAATATTTAATGATAACATTTAATAATCACATATTTAATAATTACATATTTAATGATCATATATTTAATGATCACATTTAGTAATCACATATCTAATAATTACATTTTTAATAATCATATATTCAGATTACACAAACACTTAAATTTGTAAGTCTTTGTACCTTATTAGTTTTTAACTGTTTGTAATTGTTTCTCACTACTGTATATATATGCAGTTATTTAATTGAAAATATATGAATTGATTGGTAAATACATTGCATGAGTTATATTTATTTCTATTTACATTGCATACATTACATTTTTACATTGCATACATTACATCTTTAAATTGCATACATTTCATCTTTACATTCCATACATTACATCTTTACATTGCGTACATTACATCTTTACATTGCATACATTACATCTTTAAATTGCATACATTTCATCTTTACATTCCATACATTACATCTTTACATTGCGTACATTACATCTTTACATTGCATACATTACATCTTTGCATCGCATACATTACATCTTTACATTGCATACATTACATCTTTGCATTGCATACATTACATTATACGTTACATACATTACATTGTACATTAATCTGAAACTACCACAAAATATTTTGGTAGTTTGAGACTATCACAAAATATTTTGGTAATCTGAGACTATCACAAAATATTTTGGTTTGAAACTATCAAATTTTAAATCGTTGATTAGTCTTGTAAATATAAGTTTTTCTGTATTTACCTTTTGAAGCTGTTAAACACAAATACTAAAAAATATTTTAGAGCTGCTTAGCAACAAATACTAAAATATTTTAGACCTGTTTAGCAACTCCTGCCAATTTGACTAACTATTTTAGACTGGGGCCAGGCTGACATAAGATGTTAAAGAGGTCAAGTTTAGCTGAGTTTGGGACCCCAGTTGGTTACTAGTTGTTGCTACACTTGTGCAACTGAAACAGTGACATTTATACTAGTACTAATTTTATATGATGTAAAATGTGTAACTTTTTAAATTGTGCATAGCATAATTAACATATATCTATTTATTTAGAAGTAATAAGTATGTAATCAGAATGGCGCGAGAGTCTTTTAACGTTTTAAAGAAATATTTACAAGTATGGTGTTTATACAATTCAACTTTTTTCATGATTATAACCACCAGTTACTGATAGAAACTGTAAGTTAGCAACAGAGTTGATAGAAATATCTAATCCTGTACACAACATTTTGTTTAAAATAAATTTAATTTTGTATAAATCTTTTTTGTAGGTCAAAAACATGGATGTTCTCTTAAATTTAATTCAACAGCATTTCCACTTAGATGGTATTTACTTCAATTTATAATAATAATATGTAGGGTATTTGTAATAGATATTATGAACATACAATATAGGGCTGTTGTCTTTAGTACACAAATAATATAGGGTTGTTAAAATTGGCAACTATTAACATCTTTTTTTGCTAGTTTGTTTATTTATAACTTAACATGATAAAGACTTTTTTTTTTAACTAGAGAAGGTTTGTTAATATAATTTAATGTTTTAAGTGGAAAAGATTTGTTATTATAATTTAATTTTTTAACTGGAAAAGATTTGTTAATATAATTTAATGTTTTAACTGGAAAAGATTTTGTAATTTTAAAACAGTTTTATAGACATTCAATATAAAAATATTTATTAGTAACTATATATATATATATATATATATATATATATACTATATATATTAGTAAGTATTATTTAGTAACAGTATTTATTATTAACAGTATTTATTAGTAACAGTATTTATTAGTAACAGTATTTTTTAGTAGCACTATTTATTAGTAATTATTAGTTATACAACTATAGTCATATAACTAATATCTATTTTTAGAAAATAGAAGTCCTATATTATTTGTGTATTAAAAACAACAGTCCTATATTGTTTGTACATAGACAACAGTCCTATATTTGTTTGTACATAGACAACAGTCCTATATTTGTTTGTACTAAGACACCAGTCCTATATTGTTTGTGTATTAAAGATCTTTGTGCTTGATATAGTTTTTGATGGTCGTCCTCGAAATCAAAAGGCAATAGATGCTACTGCTGGTTATTTCACTGGAGAAGCACCTCCTGATGGTAAGAAAAACAATAGTTTTAACTTTCTTTCTTAATTCTATAAGAATAAAATTTTGTTTTTTTAGCATGATGCTAAGTATTTTGCATAGATCATAGTTATAAGAGTCTGGAAGCAAACAACTATGTAAGAGTCTAATCTTCTAATCAATATCAGTTTTGCTCATTGTATTGTATATCATTGCAACCATACATCATATTATAATATGCTCATTGTATTGTATGTAATTGCAACTTAAGTACTTAAGTAAATTTTGTAGTTTTAACTTGCGTTTCACAAATTTAAAATAAAAATGTGCTCTAACTAAGCATCGTTATTCAAAATCTTAAATGTAGAAACGTAGCATTTAATATTCTTTCGCATATATTATTAAAAAACTTGTTTTTTTTTTAATAAATTTTAGAAAAAACAAAACTTTATCATGTTTATGTTAACTTATGTTACATGAAAATTGCAAAAGTTCTTTCATTATTTTTTTTAAATATATATATTTTATAAAGTATAAAATCTGACCAACAACAATTTGAACACATTAATATTGTTATTGTATTTTTTAGTATCATGGATAAAAAAGTACACAACAAATATATGAAATTGTTACTTCATTTCTGGAAATGATAATAAAATAAAAAATTAAGGGTTCTAAACCGCAACACAGAGACAGGTCTTGGGATGCCTTTTATCAAACCTGAAAGATTTACACTGGGATCAAGCTTTATCTGAGACTATAGGCAATATGCTCTTACACTATTAGAAAGCTAATATACTAACTCTAGTAGGCAGAAACAATATTGGTAGAGTAATTGAAGATTACTATGAAAAAGAATTCATTACTTTTATGAAATTGAAAGATTATAGAAGACAAGAAAATGAATCTAGAATAATTAAATTTTAATCAGAATTAATTTTGGCAACGAAATTTTATAAGAATTTAGTTGTAAAGAACATGACCACTAAGAAAAAGGGGATGACTAAAGTTGAACAAAATCCCATTGATGTTGAAATTAAATGTAAGAAAATCATGTTGTGTGATAGAGTAGCTACGTATTCTGGGGTGGACACAGAAAAGACAAAAAAGCAAATAGAAAGACAAAAAAAATAATCTTGAAGAAAAAAAATGATCCCATGTAAACATGCATATAATTGTACTTTTAAAGTGATAAATCTTGAACATGGCTTGTGTGAAGATGAAAATATTGAAGAAGTTAGCACCAGAGCACAGAATAGAGCACAGAATAGGAAACACAGAAGAATGGTTAAACATGGCATAGATATCTTTGTTTCTCATGACATATTGCAAAACCCTGACCTTGTTTTATGCAGTATCCATAACAACATTTCAGCAACCCATGTGTACCATTAGTGCCATTGTGTACTCCCTTATAGCACCATGCGGGGGTGACCCTTACGAGCTATATCTAAATGTAAGAACAGCTCACCATTATAAAACCGCTTGTGTACCTGAAATATGTTTAAAGATCAAAGAAAATTAGATGTCATTACCAAAAATGCTGGTGCACTGGTTTGGAAAACTTATGGACATTTTAGGCTAGGTCATACCCTTTTTCTGGTTTGTTTGTCATAGGCTTGTGGGTGAATTACTTTTGAGTTATTGCTGGGAAAGTTTGAAAGTTGAGACATCAGTTTGTCCAAACATTTTGATTTTCCAAAGGTGAGTTTAATCGGTTATATCTTTTGTTTAACCTACAATCAATATATTGCACAAAAAATCTCTTTTTTATAATCAGAACTTACTATTTATAGTAGTCCTCATAACAACAATTGACATTTATTTACACTTACACTATTTAATTAAGAAATATTTCCCTGTCATCAGATGTCATCAAACTGTCATCAGATGAACAAGCTAAGTATTATTATCCGCAAATGATGCCTATAGAAGAAAAACGCCAGCAAGAGATGGCTAATTTTCTTGAATCTCTTACACAATCATTCACACTACAAAGATGACTTAAAAGAACTGCTTTATCTGCTCATAATAACTGAACCAAAGAACTCTGCTATAATACTTATCAGAACCAAAGAACTTCAAGATTCTCTATCCTGGTGCCAATTCACAAAGCAAAGAGGATGAGTAAACTGCTTTTTATTCTGAAGATTGTGCTTCTGTCTAGACAGATTGATGAACATTTTCACAGTTGGAACAATGTATTGTAGTGGCTTGTTTGTCCTGCACCAGCTAGCGCACCAGTAAATGACCTAATTTTAGTGGAAAATTTGGCAAAGTTTGCTGAGCATGACTCAACTCTAGTTGAAAATGCTCGCATGACATTCAGTCAGCACACTTGTTATTTATCTGAGGAGTTAATTTCATTAGCTCTGTTCTCATCTATGATAGCAGTAGAAACCAAAGAGGAAATGAGGAAATCCATTCTTACCTTTGAAAACGCTTCTGTTACAAAGAGAGTTGAACTCAATTTTTGGAGATTTGGCAAGCCCTATCTTCCTCCTACAATAAAATATGGTACTTTCTCTAGTTAATCTAATTAGGCCAGATTCATTCATTCAGATTTTTTAGCATTTTGGTATGGTCTATAAATTCCTCCATGTTCCAGCACATGATTGGATTAATAGGGAAGTCTATCAAAACATGAAATTGGTTGTCAACTTTAGGTGGTAAATGAGGCATCAGAGCATGTTGTGAAGGTGTACTATGTCTCCAAAAAGTCTCCAAAATATTTCAATGGTGAAACTAAGGTAAAAATTTCTAGGTGTAACTAAGGTGTAACTAAGAACTAAGGATGAGAAAATACTTTCAAGATGTTCTCCAAGTAGTAGAATCTCATAGAAAATTTTGTGCACAAAAAGAAAAATCATGCTATTTTTATATATTTGCTACAAATATCTTATATTTTGTGATTATTTTAATTTTATTGATTTCGATTGTAAAATATAACTGAAAATAATGGGGCAAGATGATAAGACCATCGTCTTCTGCTTGCTCCAGTCAATTTTTTACATTAACTCAAAATTATGAACAGTATCAATTAACAAAAATTGGGCGATTGTCAAACCCTAATATATTTATTCACTCAGAAAAATGTCCATAGTTCCATGTAGTTATTGCAGATTTTATGCGGAAGTTATTTATAAAATTACCCACAAAAATTATATTTATTAGACCTGTTGCAAGCAAATGCGTTTATGACAATTTTATGTGTTTCTGAAACAATTGAAACTAAATTTTCTAAAATATTTTCAAAATCCAGTATATCAACTCTCGGAATTAGGAAAAATGAGGTCGGCAATAATTTGCCAACAATCTTTTTGAGGTCGGCATCATGTCAGCAAAAATAATTCATACAAAGGTTTGACCATAAAACATAGAAACTAGGTCGGCAATTTTTAGCTAACCTCAAACACTTTCAGGTTGGCAGTTAGCTTGGCATTGCCGAATGCCGACCCCAATTCTGAGGGTTGGTATATATATATATATATATATATATATATATATATATATATATATATATATATATATATATATACGCAAAATTTCCATAGTTCCATCAGTTTGTTTTGAGCACTTACTAAGAGTTGATTGAAGTTTGAGCAAGATTTTGATAGTTTGTTCTATATGAAAGTTTTGTGTATTTTTAATTAACATTTTTTATTTAATTATTACAATGCCACGTGGACGGGTGTTAAATGAGGAAGAAAAAGCAAAAATTGTTGTTTATAAAAATATAGGTTTGTCCAATCGAAAAATTTCAAAAAAAATCTAAAGTATTCATCATGCAGTGAATGGTTTTATAAACTTAAGAGAAAATTACATTAAAAATCACCCTAAGGGCCAAAATAAAAAAATAACCAGAAGGCAACATTCTTTCATTATGTGTTTGGCATCATCCAAAGTACGAAGAGCAAGAAAATAGGGACTGAACTGGAATTACCTGTGACCACAAGACGTGTCCAGTAAGCTTAGCCAGGAAGGCATGCGATTTTAAATCTTTATATGACCACGCAAATAATATTTTGTTTTTATGATTTAACCTAGGGTTGTTCGCCAAAAAACAAAACTTGCGAAAATTTCGCATCTTTATCTACCGTAATAAAATTGTTATTGCAGAAGTTGCACATGCAAAAATGCACATTCCGTAACGCGCAATACGAAAATATAAATAAATAAAATTCCGTAATAAAGCATTGCGAAAGAAAACTTGCGAAACAAATCATTTCGTAAGAATACTTACGAAATAGTTCCTTATGGAAGATGCATTCCAGAATGTGCAGTTACGAATTATTTAAGATATTAACTGTTAACAGTTTAAATAATAAATAATAAAATTATAAAAAAATGTTGTCAAATGATTTTTCAAATGTTTATACAAATATACCTAATATATATATATATATATATATATATATATATATATATATATATATATATATATATATATATATATATATATATATATATATATATATACATATATATACAGTAAAATCCCGTTAAGTTGGACTCTCAATGAACAGATAAACAGTATGCCTTTCTTTTTAAAAAGTATAAAGAGGATGTGTGATAAACAATTTAATACTTTATTATAAAGAACGAGAGATCTCTCTAAAGGTAAATGATATCAGAAAGAGTAAAAAGAGAAGAAATATATGTGAAACAGCGGGATGTGAACCTGGGTCTCCGCGGCCAAATGTCTTAACTGAATGAGCTTTACGTTCATTCAACTAAGTGAATAGTATTATTTATTTATAATATAATTAAGAAACTATATAAAACAGAATTTACAGAAAATGATACGTATGCAAATAGGATTCTATATATCAGGAAAATGTATAGTAATGTGAACCTTTAGTTGCTTATAATTAATATGTGGACTCGAAAACTAGTTACTTTTAATGGAACACAATAGGCTGTAGGAGCCTCAGGGAAATTATATTCAGAAATGATTATATTAGACTCAGAGTTAGCTAGAAATTATTACAAAGTGTTTAGGACAGATATCTAGTACAAAAAGCACAAGATTTA